GCCTATCCAATCCCCTTTGTCAGCTCAATATTGGACAAATTACGAGACGCGCGATACTTGAGTACCCTGGACATAAAGTCCGCTTACTGGCAAATCCCCATGGCAAATGAATCTCGTCCCCTTACCGCCTTCACTGTCCCAAATAGAGGATTATTCCAATTTAAAAGAATGCCATTTGGCCTGCATTCGGCACCTGCCACGTGGCAGCGGTTGATCGACCAGGTTATAGGGGTTGATTTAGAACCATTTACTTTTGTATACTTGGATGATGTGATTATATGTACTCCAACCTGGGAGAAGCATATGGACGTGCTGGAGACTGTTCTTCAGCGCATTAAGGCTGCTGGGCTAACTTTAAATAGGGAAAAGTGTATTTTTTGTAGATCAGAATTGCGTTATCTAGGGTATCTTGTAAATGAACACGGGCTCTTAGTTGATCCTGAAAAGGTGGAAGCTATTTTAAAAATTCCAACTCCTGGAACGGTGAAAGAGGTCAGGCGAATTGTTGGCATGGCATCCTGGTATCGGCGCTTCATACCAAATTTTTCAGAACTAATGGCTCCATTAACTCGTCTCACACAAAAGAATAAAACTTTTGTATGGGATTTAGCTTGTGAAGAAGCGTTGAATAAGGTAAAACAAGTTTTGGTTAAGGCTCCAATTCTCGCATGTCCAGATTTCTCTCTTCCTTTTATTGTGGAAACTGATGCGAGTGACTTCGGTCTCGGGGCAACCCTTTCTCAGAACTTTCCAGGTGGAGATAGAGTAATTTGTTATTTAAGCAGATCTCTCACGAAGACAGAACGCAAATACTCAACTACGGAGAAGGAGTGTCTTGCCGTCATTTTTGCTATCGAAAAACTACGACCGTATTTAGAAGGCTCTAAGTTTGTCGTTATTTCAGACCATTATAGCCTAAAATGGCTATTTAATATTAAAGACCCTGTGGGCCGCATAGCAAGATGGGCGTTACGTCTACAAGCTTATGACTTTGAGGTGGTTCATAGGAAAGGAAAAGACCATTTAGTGCCTGACGCATTATCCCGGGCTGTGCCTTGTATAGATGTTGTGGACACCCCCCCGGTAACTCCTTCCTCGTCTTTGGACAAATGGTATTCCGAAATGTTTCATAAAGTTCAGGCAGATCCAGTTAAATATCCTCTGTGGATGGTTCAAAACGGTGAGCTTTTTAGAAATTGTCACTCAAATTATCCAGATTTATCGTATTCCGAATGGGTGTTAGTTGTTCCTAAAAATAAGAGAGCGGAGATCATATGCAATTACCACGATCCTCCTACTGCTGGTCACTTGGGTGTGGCTAAGACTGTGGCTAGAATTGTCCAAAAGTACTACTGGCCCAAACTAAAAACTGATGTTGGTAGGTACATTCGAAGATGTATCACTTGTCAGAAAATCAAACCTGAACAGAAACCCCCAGTTGGACAGATGCTTTCCTCGCAAGTCACAGCTTCCAGGCCATGGCAATTAGTCAGCGCAGATCTGGTAGGCCCGTTACCTAGAACCACGACTGGGTTTAATTTCATTCTAACGGTAATGGATTGTTTTAGTAAATTTTTGTTAGCTTTTCCTATACGCTCAGCCACGGCGGCAAACGTTGTCAAGATCTTAGAAGATCAGGTCATACTAATGTATGGAGCACCAAGGACTATTATTGTGGATAATGGAGTTCAGTTTGTAAGTCATTTCTTCCGACAAACTATGGACAAATATAAAGTTCAGATTAAGTTCACTGCTCTCTATCATCCACAAGCTAATCCAGTGGAGAGAAGTCACCGAGTGATAAAAACTATGTTGAGTGCCTATGTTTCCGAAGACCAGCGAAATTGGGATACACTCCTACCAAAAATTTTGTGTGCAATTAGATCCGCTAAACACGAAGTTACAGGTGTAACACCTAATCTAATTAATTTCGGGAGAGAAATAATTCTCAACAACTTAGAGTTTGACGGTCTACCATTGAATCAGTTTGATCTAACTGAACAAAGTGCAGCACTTGTTAAACTTTTTCAAGATGTTAAAAAACGTCTACAGTCAGCCTATAACAAGGCAAGAATCCCGTATAACTTGAGGCGCAGAAGTGACAAATTTACGGAAGGGCAAAAGGTTTGGAGACGCAATCATATTCAGTCGGATAAAGCTAAACACTTTAGTGCTAAGTTGGCTCAGAAATTTGTCGGTCCTTATAAAATATCCAAAATAGTTTCCCCTTGGTCGTATCAATTGGTAGATGAAAATAATAGACCTGCTGGCACTTGGAACGCAAAAGACATTAAGGTTCATCCCCCCGATGAAGATACTGTTAATGTAATTTGACCCTTTCCAACGACTTCTAGCCTTAAAGATATACTTCATAGATAAGTACTTATGCTGATGGTAATGGAGATAAATGTACTTACATGTATATATATTTTTTTTTTCTTTTCTGTATTCTAGTCTAGGACTAAAAAGTTCTTAGAAACTTTTTTTGCACGAATGGGTGGTGTTGTTATGGGTTAAAAGATTTTATATTTGGCATATAGGAATAAAAACAAAATTACTTCTCTTCTTAAAAATAATTTATTATAAATCATAAATTGACATATTTTTAAAACCGAGTTGTAAATATGAGTAGTTAATGGTCAAATTTTAGTCTTCTTTTTCTTCCTGGTTCTCATCAAGAACCACAGAACTTATTAATTAGATATCTAATTATTTTAAATTATCATATGGCCAACCTTATATATCAAATTACACTAGAATTAGCTGATAAACTCGGGAGTGCGTTTAGATACCCCGCACGGCGCGTCTGACCACATGCATTAGAATAGGGCCCAGACGCGCCGTGCGGGGTTTCTAAACGCACTCCGGTATTAAGAAAAAAAACTGACAGGTTTTTTTTCAAGCTTTCTTTTGAAAAGCACGTTTTCAGAGGAAGCTTGCTCTCGCATTTTTGCGGATTTTTCACAAAGAAAAAGTTTATTTGGAAGATTATTTTGTTTAGGAAACATAAACAAGACTCTACTTTTGAGGATAGAAAAATCCATATAACTTTTTCGATTTAATTACCGCTTCTTTGGAAGCCACATTTGGCCCCATACCACCTCAGGTAGGTTTAAAATATAGTTTGGATATAAAATTAGTTAAAATAATAATTCTTACATCATTTTACATAAAATAAATCATTATTTTAGGCCTTTTATTGTTAGTTTTTTTAACTAGCTCATTTACAACTTAAATAGGTATAGTATAACCGTGTCAAGGTATACCTACCTCTGGCTACCTAGTAAACCTACTCATGTCAAGAGTCATAGTATAATAATTGGAAGTAAATTGTCTCTTGCTGTAGTATGGATGTTTAGCTGCAGAACCATCCTTGAATCCACTCTGTACTGTCAAATGGTGATGGAAATTGTGTACATATTGAATGGAAAAATACGGAGGATCCCTGGAAGTTACAGATAAGCCTTAGACATAAGTTTGAAAATTAAAACTCAAAGATATAATTTATTTAAAATAATCAATTGCCTTTTACACTTAATTTCATTAATTTTTCCGGTAATTTACACTCACTTTGTAAAGCAAATCTTCTAGAAGTGCCGCTAAAAGCTCTGTATCTAAAGGGCTATTTTGTTTGTTTTAACCTAAAAAAAAAAAAAGAATCACATTAGTAAAAATAATTATATGATATAGCAACAAAAGACTTACCTCAACCCCAAATCTTTGACATATAATCCACTTTAACTCATTTGTGTTAAATATAGAAAAGAAAAGTAATCATTGTTTATTATTGTACTACTCGAACCCAGAATCGTGAACTTTCTTTAAATATACGAAAGAAATATATAACAATATTCTCCCACTTTTCAATATTTTATCAATTTTAGCAAGGCGAGATAGAAAGATTTACAATTGTTTGCCTAGGTTTTATCGAAATGCAATATTTTCCTTTAGGTAATAATAATAATAATAGACCGTCAGATAGTTACCGATTTAGGGGCCCCATTTTCGCATACAAGCCTCGAAAAGAGTTGAAAAGTACATCGATGTTGAGTAGAATAAAAGAAAATTTACGAGTGGTTCTTGGGGATAAAACATGGAAAATTCGACAGAAAATTTTCCGACCCCAAAATGCACTTATACATTGGGGTCATTCAAGAAAATATGTTTTTCGGATTAGTGACGACATACGTTTTTATACATTCGATGGGCTTGTGTGGAAAAATCGGGCTTATCTCGATTTTTCCTTAGAAGATTACGAGCTTATTTCAACCCTTTAGCCACTTGCAACATTAAAGCCTTTGTTTTTCCGAAGCCTAGTTCTATTAATTAATCATATAGTGAAAACGGATTGTGTGGAAAAATAGGCAACAAATAACCTTTCGTTTTTGTTAGGAATAATCGAATTTTCCATGTGTTATCCCCAGCAGCCACTCGTAAATTTCTTTTCATTCTACTTAAAATTGATGTACTTTTCAACCCTCTTCGAGGCTTGTTTGCAAAAATGGAGCACCTAAACCTAAACCACTATTTGACGGACTATAAGACTCGAGCCAAAGTAAATAAATAACAAAAAACAAAAGAAAAACCCAGATGTTTCACTACGAAAGTGTGTAGAAAAATCGCATGACAGAAGCCAATCCTTGCTTTAATTAAATATGGGTCAGTTTTAAATTACAGAATACTTTTTCTTTTAGATCATATTACTATCTGGAATAAATTATATTATCTTTATATACAACATATAAAACATGTAGGTAGGTATTTTCATAAATAATTTATATTTCTGTTTACAAGAATTTTAATGTAAAATTCAATAGTTTGCTTAACTGTTTCATTGATTACCTTGAAATTTCAATTTATATTATCTGAATAAATTGACTCAAACTGACAAGAAAAATATTATTATATACTTATTACGTATCAAACATATTGGATAATCAAACTGAGAGATACTAGTCTACAGAATAACATTTTATAATATTTTAAATACTAGCACTTACGGTTATCTTTTGGTACTGGAATTGGCCTTTGTTCCTAAAAAAAAAGTCCTATATAAAAATCTTAAAGGAGTCTGAATTTAGGTATCATTTCGTTTCGTGATTGTTTATTAGGGCGCATCCGAATTCTACCACAAATTAAAATTTTACCTGAATTTTAACAACTTAGGGATTAGTGAATAGTCCGAACTCTGCCATGACCATTAAGGGGCATTAATTTTTATCCGTTTTAGGGATTAAGGATTTAAATATTTTTTCATATCTAAAGACCTTTCAGAAGAGGTACAAAAATTAAATAAGTAATTATTAATATATTTTCTCCAAAACAAAATTGATGGAATTCTTGGAATATTTTGACGACTGCTCGGTTTTAATATTTAGGGAAATATTTAGAAGGGGAAATAGGTTACTTGTTTCTTAATAAAGGTTTAATGAAACAGTTTATTATCCACCTTAGTTGAGTTAAAATGTGCGTCTACCATGTTTAGTGAAAGAGGAAATAAATTAATTGTGTTAAATAATTTTAAGTTTTCCAAAGCTAATACTAGCAAATGTGGAAAGATTCGATGGAAATGCTGTAACGCTAAATGTACAGCTAGAGTGTACTCCACGTTTCCAATGAAGACGTAATAATAGAGGTCAAAGCAGAACACAATCATGGTGATGCAATGAATCTTGCAAGAAATGCAGTGAGCAATAGTGTTAAAAGAAAAGCAACTTGTGATCCAGCTGAGAAACCAGCAAAATTAATAATTCGAGAGTTGCAATCAAATAATTTTGCGGAGAACATAAACTTAAAAGATATCAATCAAATAAGAAAAAATATGCATGCGGCAAGAAGAAAAATCTTGCCAATATTACCTAAAAACCAAGAAGAGGTGTTCAATACTGTTCTCGAGTTACATCTGAATACAAATCGCGGGGAAGAATTTCTAATGGTGGCAGATAAGGTAAAAAAAAATAATTGTTTTCCTGTTTTTCAAATTTAACATTTTTGTGTCAGTCAGAGTGTATTTTGATGGACGGAACATTCAAATTTTGTACAAATTTCTTTTACCAAATGTTTACGATTCATAGTTTTAAAAACGGTTAATATGTACCAGTTGTTTTTTTGTTTATTACCTGATAAATCAAGTGAAACATATTACAATGTATTCCTCCTTTTAAGTAAGAAGTGTAAAGCTTTTGGTTTAAATTTTAAACCAATAGAGATTGTGGTAGATTTTGAATTAAGCATTCACAACGCAATATATAAATATTTTGGGAGAGATCTTATTCTTTTGGGTTGCAAATTTCATCTCTGCCAAGCATGGTTTCGGAAAATTCAAGAATATAATTTAGTTCCGGAATATAAAGAGAAAACTCTGTGATTGGTAGATATTTAAAACTTCATTTTGGTATGATGTACCTCAGTTCTGAGGAAGTTGTAGATTTTTTTAATGAAGAATTGCACTATTTGCTACCAAATGATAAAAGAGTAATTAAATTCCGCAATTATTTAAAACAAACATATATCAACAATTTATCAATATTCCAACCAAATATTTGGGCAAATATTGCAGATTTTTTTAAGAGGACTACTAACGCATGTGAAAGTTTTCATTTGCATTTTAATAGCTCCTTTTATAAAGCACACCCCAATATAATACATTTTACACGTGTACTGTTAGATTTCCAAGTAGAGACTTATTCAAAAATGCGGTCAGCCAACAATAATCAGAAAACAATAATTAAAAGAAATGTCCAAACGAAAGTCAACACAATACAAGAAAATATTGAAAAATATAAAAATAAATCTATTTTGCGGTTTATGTTTGTTAAAATAATGTCATTTAAAAATCTTCCCAATGTCTAATTTCATTTTACCTGTAAAGCTTTTATTATATTTGTAATTTTCAATTAACTGTGTATTGCAATTTTGTATTCTTGTGGTTTTTATACTAATTTTATACTGTTTTTTTTTAATAAATTCGAATATTTTCATAATGTTGTTTTTTTATTCATGTATGTATGTAGCTATGTAAGTACCACAAATAGTAAACAATATCAGCAATGTCTTGGATACCTACATTGATACTATCTTAATCGGATCGGAGAGATCCCCTAATGATTTAGGAACCTAATCTCTAAAACTGTAATCCGTGGCAGAGTTCGGATATCAATTTTTCTTTACCTGAAGTTTGTGGCAGAATTCGGAAACCCCGGTTTATTAATTCAGTTCAACCGTGACCGTACTATGCATATTCGCCACAAAATACAAGTAAGGAGGCGTCCTTTAATTACGTGAGGTATTTTTGAGGATTTTTGACCCCCCCCCTTCCCCCCTGGTGAGATTTCGTAAGATTTTCCTCAACTCCCTTCCCCCTCCCCTAATCTCACGTGAGATTTTTCAAAATTTGTGTTTTGGGAGTAAATACGTTGGATTATTAAAAAATAAACAGAAACAATATATTCTATTACTTTTATTTAAGACTAGCAAAGACTAGTATTTGAGAATATTGCCGTAATATAAAATTTCTAGAAACATTATTTACTTACTTTTACACCATTTTCTACTAGAAAAAATTACGTTAGATTTACAAAGACCCCCTCTCTCCCCCAAGTGAGATTTGGAAAGATTTAGCTTGATCCCCTTCCCCCTTGAACACCTCACGTAATTAATGAGCCCATAGTGTATGTGCTGAATTTTCGATGGGGGCCATGCTAATAAATTTTTTAAAACCTGCAACGACCATTTTTTTTGCTCATCAACACCAAAAATAAGGCCTTACTTTTGCCCGGTAGCATTTTTACAGACATTGAAAATGAATTGTAACAATTTTAACCTGGGGGGGGGAGATCAACCAATCACCAACCACCAGGCACCAACCACCAACCCTAAATAAAATCAATTGAGTAAAAATTTTAATCGTGGGAGCAGGGGCATGGCCTTCCGTCTCCCTTGGAGCCGACCTGGCTGTTTTGAAATTTTGTTTGGATAAAAATTTTGTGTTACAACATTTTTTAATGATGTCAGCTAGTATCTTATTATTTTTAAAGAATTCAAATAATCTGACTTATTTCAAGAATCCAGAAATACGACATGCAATGAAAATGTATCTCAATTTGTATACAAACAAATAAGTAACTATTTGACAAATTGGAGTGATCTGATAAGAACCGTTTATTATTTTATTATGGCATGACATGACAATAGAAAAAGTATGAAGTATCACACTATTACTTAACAAACAATAGGTACACAAAATCCTTTGGTAAATACAGATAACAGCCAATTTTTAACGTGTGGAAAAAATTTAAATATGTAACTAACAAACACTTGAATAGTGTTTATTATGTCTATATACTAATGCAACTGATATGGCATATGGATAATTGTATAGAGATGCATTAACTAATAAAACACCTTTCATCGGTAGCATACCTACTACATTCATTAGGTAATATAACAAGTGTGATGAAACACTAAAAGTTATATTTTAATTAAATAAATAAATAAATGAAGGACACGACATTTTTCTATGATCAATACTGTAATAGCAAAGAGTGATCCACATGTTTCTAAAGTAGGCCATGATTAAAGTGGCCATATTTTGAGAAGTAGGAAGCAGGACAAATCGAAAACATTGAGATTTTTGCAGTAGTGACGGTTCATTGAAGAGCAAAAAAAACATTACCATGAAAGCTTAAAAGCGGGACAAAATCGTTTTTAATCGGACGATAACGGGATAAAATTGTTTTATTCGGGCAAAAGCGGGACAAAATCGGGACACATGTTAAATCAGGACTAGTGGTTTAAAATCGGGACTGTCCCGCCTGAAAAGTACCTCACGGAGCGGAGTAGATCTAGTAGATTTCTTAGTCACGTGATCATCGAGCAAATCGAGCTTATATGGAATAAACGAACGGCTACGGATTTTTTCCTTTCCACTTTTTCATTAAATAACAAACTTAAACCTTTCTTTTAAATCAAATTTGATCTTTCGTCTCGTGGTTTTTGTTGCAAGTTGCAAAGTAAAGTTAATTTTTAGCTGCGGTATTTTCGCTTTTTGCTTCCATTAGAAAATAAACCATGTTCTCATTTCTGTCTGACATTTTTTTTTTTTTTAATAAACAAACACATGAAAAAGAATAAACTGCAACACAAGAGACAACGAAGGACGTCTGTACATCTCAGAAAAGTACATCTACTTTGTCAATTGTCACAGAAATTACATTTACTCGGAAAGCTCTAAAATTTAATTCGGAGTAAATAGATCTTACTCGATTTACCAGCTCTGCATTAAAAGACCACGGAGCAGATCCCATCGAGAAGCCGCAGATGTATTAAAAGAACGACTTCGAGTAAAAAGAGCAAAACGCAGCATTAGTCATGTCCAACAATGACAAAAGTACGGGTCATGTCCGTGATGACTACGCTCGGCTCTAAATAATTAGGTATAGGTATCTTACCTCTCCTATTACTTAAATAATGAAAGGAAAAACTATTGTTCTTTTATAACTTTTCTTTTATAATTTTCATTTACAACAAAATGAAACTGAACGCAATCATGGTGGTTGTATTATAGCTCCGTCGACATTTTTTGCATTTGCATGTCTTAAATATTTCATCCCCCTCATTGATTTTATAATTTTTCATAAATAGAGTCACGAGCCTCGTTGACTTTTATTATTTTTATTAATTTTTAAACCATACATCCGGCAAACAAATTCCACCATTACTGCATGAACTCTAGGTATATTGCCGGTATCCAATTGGATGGATCCATACCATAATTTAATATCCTTCCTGAAAGACTGATATTGCCCAACAATTTAATATCTGTGTCAGTGCACCTCACGATTAATATTAATATTTTTCAATTCAGAAAATTCATTTTCTGGGCGCCTTTGAGCTGAACCTTGTATATAAAAAGAAAGGTCTTCTTTTGACCCTTTTAACGTTAATTATCTTTTATAGATAGAGAAATATATTGTTCAAATGCGACGACCATTGTCTGTACTCTCTCAGTGATGCACATATTAAGGATTGCGATA